GGCCCTGCGCCCACCTTGAAGTGCACGTGGATGTGATCCCGGAGCACGTCCACGCGGAAGAACTTGCGCCCGCAGATCTCGCAGGTGTACTTCTTGTCGCCGTGCGTGAGCAGGTGCTTGTTCATGTTGCTCCGGCAGGAGAACACCTGGGCCGGGGCGCCACGTCAGGGCCTCGCTGGGCCACAGGTGAACGCGCCCTTCCCGGCTGCCGGGAACAGGCGGCTCCAGCGACTTTTGCGTGCGGATTATCTCTGCGGCACAGGGCACTGAACCAGGACCTCTGCCCGGAGCTCCGTCCCAAGCCCCTTCCCTCTGAGACGGGTCTCGCCAAGTCTCCCGGCCGGGCTCACACTTGCACTCTTCCTGCCTCGGCCTCCTAATCTCGGCGTATGCCCCGAGCCTGGCTTCCTTGAAACATGTGAGCAGCACGGTGCCCACGGGGAGCTCGGTGTCCGTGGCTGTCTGAGTGCGAGGAAGAGGGGAGCCGCCTGCCCGTGCTGGGGGGCTCCGCTGCTGTCGGGTGCTGTCTGCAGGGACCTGAGGTGCGGCTTTGGGGCGGGTGCTCCACATACAGGGCCTGGCCGCCCCCCCAGCTCACCCTCCCACTCGGTGTGTGCGCCCCTCCGCAGCTCTGAGTCAGAGGCCCCGAGGCACGCAATCAGAATACTTTGTGTGAAGGTAAAAAATCCACACACCCCGGCAGGGGGCGTGGGGGCTTACGTGGGGCACCGGGAGGGCCTGTGCCTCCAGGGACAGCCTGCTCCCCACCCCAGGCGGGACCAGCACCAGCAGGGCCCAGGGCCAGTGGTGGGCGGGCACCTGGACCTGGGTGATCAGAGCGCCAGCTGCTCCCCAGCCCCGCCCCTCTGCCAGCTGAGTCCCTCAGGATGCTGGCGCACTGCCCGGCCCCGCCCCGCACCCGCACACAGCCGTTACCTTGCCACACACTGGGCACCCCGAAGGCTCCTTCTTGTAGCGGACCAGGCTCTCACTGCCGGCCTCCAGGTCCTCTCTCTTCACCCGTCGCACTCCTGAAAGCCAACCCAGAGGGCAGTGAACACGGGGTCAGACGGCCCGGGGAGGAGGCCTCACGGCCCGAAGGCACTGGCGCAGGGCACCCAGGGTGTTAATTTGGAAGATCAGCCAGGAGCTTCACTGAACAGGGGCCTGACCGGTCCCAGAGCTCACGGCCAGTGTGCGAGGGCTTTGGAGGCTGCGAGAAGGCAGATTTCTCATGGGAAAAAGTGCTCATCTCCATCCGGGTCTCGCACATCAAACCAGTCAGATCGGGGCCAGAGTAAGAAGTCAGACGATTGTACAATCTTTTGGTTTGAAACGATAGGAGTAGGATAAAAACACACTCTGGTCTTTAAAAACGCTCACATCGGCTGGGTACAGTGGTGCACACCCAGGTTGCAGCACTCAGGAGGTTGAGGCAGGAGGACAGCTCGAGGCCGGGGGTTCAGGGCCAGCCTGGGCAGCACAGAGAGATTCCATCTCAGTGACGATAATAAAACCACTTCCTGTGAACACAAGCTCTTGACAGAAGAGAGCAGAGCTGAGCCTTCTGGGGCTTTTCTACTCAACTGGAATTCAAGTCTGAGCCTGGGGCGGGCGTGGCGACAGGCAGACCTGGCTTTGGTCCGGCTCCCGGCCCGCAGAGATGCCTTGGGCCCCGCCCCAGGTGCCGCCACAGCGTCGCCAGTTCACTGGCCCTCGGGAGGGACGATTGCTATCGCAGCTGCACAGGGTGAGGAAACTGAGGCACAGCAGCTTGCCCAAGCTCTCCAGCGGCTGAAAGGGGGCTGGAGAGTCCCAGAAGTAACACCGAGGGAAGACAGTGGGGTCTTCACCAACCATGCGAAACAGGGCCAAACGAAGAAGTGTGGAAAGCCACACGGGATGGGACCCTAGCCTTGCTTCATAAAGGTCTGATGCCGGTGCACACATACGTGTACAGCGCAGAGTGTGGGTACGGGTGTGTGGGCGGGCACATGGAGGTACACACGCTTGGACACTCGCAGACCTGCAAGTTCTTAAGTGTGTGTGTGGCTGCAGTTTAACCACGCATGACTTCATTATCTTTCATTTTCTTTTCTTGCTTTTCCTCTTTGTTTTGTTTTTGAAACAGAGTCTATATAGCCAGGCCGGTCTCAAACTCGCAGCGATCCTCCTGCCTCAGCCTCCCAAATGCTGGTGCAACAGGTGCCTGTCACCAGGCCCAGCCTCACCAGCCCTCAGGGGGCGCTCCAGCCACCCTGGCTGTGCACACTGTGTGCCCCTGCTTGGGGACAGGCAGCCTGTGGTGACAGCACTCCCTGGTGGGTACGGGAGCACCGAACATGCTCGGGAGGGACCGGCTGGAGGCCCTGCACAGGGCCGAGAGCCAATGGCACGTGCAATTTCATTCAGGGTTTCCCCACTGTGTGCCGCACAGAAAGGATTATTTGTTTCTGAGACAGGGCCTTGCTTTGTAATTCAGGGTGGCCTGAACTCACAGTGATCCTCCTGCTTCAGCCTCTGGAGTTCCGGGAGTACAGGTGTGCACCACCGCACCCAACACTTTGCAATAAGAGCCTCTTGGGGAAACCTTCAACAGCCTGGGCACATTCGCCCCACCCAGCCTGCCACTGGGACGGCCTCCCCGCCCGGCCGCTCACCCTCCAGGTGGCGCCGCTGGTGGTCCAGCATGACGTCCTTGCGGTAGAACATCTTGCTGCAGACCCCGCAGGCAAACTTCTTGTCCCCGTGCTTCTTCTTGTGCTTGGAGAGGTTGCTGTTGGTGGAGAAGAATCTGAAACACATCTCACATTGGAACGTCTTGTCATCTGTCCGGAGAGCAAAAGACAGGGCTCCAGTCACCGCGCCGTCCCGCGTAGGCAACCGGCCGCTCCTGGCCCCCGCCCCCTAGGCCCTCGGCCCCTGAGCCCAGCTCCTGCTCCTCGTCCTAGACCCACCCCTCCCGCTGCACATGGCCCCCAGCTTCCCCCATGAGCAGGCCCCACAGAACCATGAGTACCCGCCTGGGTGGTGCCCATGGCTAGCAACTGGGTGCCAAGGGGATCTGCGAGCTCAGGCAGCCTGGACCACACGGCCCACCCAGCCCAAACACCAGACCAGGCAAACCAGAACCACGTGTCCCTGGGTCCGTTACAGACACAGTCCACACACCTTACAGGTATGCTCAGGATACACAGAAACACAGCCACTCACCACCCCACACTCCCTACCACCCTGCACGCTCATACCGCTCATGTTCTGTTCACACCCTGCTCACCACCCGCTCACACCCGCTCACACCACGCTCTGCCGCTGTGGGGCCTGCAGCCTGTCCACCCGGCCTGAATCTGTCCCTCCCAAAGGTGGCACCCAGGACCCAGCGCTCCACCCCACACCCTCTTGCTCCTGCCCCTGCGCCTTCCTTCCGGGGACCTCCAGGCGGGTGCGACACAGGTGGGTGATACAGCGTCGCCCCTCCCAGCTTGGGAAGCCAGTGCCCAGGGCACGGACGCCCAGGGCTGTGTGGATAGTGCTGTCCCCCACATCCTCCCCGCAGGTGGCTGGATCTTGGCCTCACCACCCCACTGTCCTGCTGCCCCTGCTGGGTCCATCTCCCCATGGCCCTGTGAGGGCCCGAAAGTGCCCCCTCCCCAGAAGCCAGCAGTGTCCCCACAGCCCCCGCCAGCGGTGACAGCACTGGTGCCTGTGAGATGCCGCCATGGGGTGGCCTGTGCCACGAGATGCGCCTGTGGGGCGCGGCCTGGGGACATCCTCCCTCATCCTGGGCTCCACCCAGCCCCGAGGAAGGCGGGCGGCTCTGGCTCTGCCCTCTGGGACATGGCACAGGAGGGGCTGTGCGGCTGCCACGAGGCTCTTCCCAAAGTCAAAGTGACCATGGCAGGGACAGGTTTTGAATGCACTGAGGACACCGAGGCAGCAGCTAAATCAGCACAAGTGAAGACACTCAGGAAAGGGGCTCCGGAGCTGCTGCAGGAGCTGCCAGGACAATGGGCTGGGCGTGCGTGAAGTGAGGAGGATTTTGTGGGGGATTCATGGCAACGGGTCTTTTATCATAATAAATTTTAAAAATATAAACACTCGTGTATGTTCCTACCACACCGCACATTTCCCCACGGTGCACGGTTTCATTTCCCAGCTGTAACCCCGGCCTCGGGGCCGGTGCCTATGTCCCCAGCCGAGCAGCCAGGGCTGCCCACGGATGCCACCTCGCTTGGAGGCGGACAGAAGACGAGAAAGCCCGGAGGTGAGGATGGGCGGCCTCGCCTGTTGTCCCCAGTCCTGGGGCTGTGGGAGCCATCGACCCCGCCCCTGCGTCCCTCCTGGAATGGAGTGCGAACGGCCCCCGCTCACCTGTCCTGCAGTTGTGGAACTCCAACGCACTCTCCATGCGGAAGGTCTTCCCACAGGTGCCGCAGCGGTGCCGGTACTCGCCGTCCACCTGGG